TCTCTCTCTCTCTCTCTCTCTCTCTCTCTCTCTCTCTCTCTCTCTCTTTCTCTCTCTCTCTCTCTCTCTCTCTCTATCTTTCTTTTATTAGAAATATAATTTTTTATACAAAAGTATAATAACTAAAATTATATGAAAAGAGTTTACAGTATTACACAATATATAGAAAAATAAACCAGGAACACTATATAAAAATGAATAAACAAAATATTGATGGAAAGAAATATAACACAGATGACTCTTTTGAGACGGAAATTGATAATTTAAATAAAATAATCATTTCAACATCTAAGGAAGTAATTGATGAAAATGAATCCTCTAATTTGACTGTGTATGTATCATTTGGAACATTTTTTTTAATAGAAAATTAAGTTCTCTCTCTCTGTCTCTCCCTCCAATTTTTATTTAATTTTTTTAACTTTTATTTAATTATTATTATAAATCTCAAATTTATCTTAAAACATATTTACAAATGTTTTGTAACTGTTTCGACAATACATTTTATTACACTATGTAAATGTTAAATATTCTTAATTCATCATATAAAAGTAATAGATATATTTTCTAAAAATAAATATTACAGTGTAGCGGATAAATTTTCTGAGTTTGAAAACTTAAATGGAATGGATATTTTAACATCTAATGACGAATTCGACAATATTAAGTTATTTGATTCAACCATGTAAGTATAATTTTAAATATTTTTTTAATATTGAAAGAAATTTTGATATTACAATTTATATAAGGTGTACACCATAAACATATAGTATTTTAAAGTAATACCGAATATAAACAAACATATTTCTCTGGTATATTTATTATTGGCATACATTATTATAAAATATTATATTATAAAGTATACAACTAAAGAAAGTTCTCACTCAAAATTATGAAATTTCTACAGATGTATCTTTAGGATCTGTTTCACCAACATCATTTAATCTTTGGTTAAACTCATTCTTTATCTCTTGCTAATGGTCTCCCTTAATTTATTGTGCATATAATACATTATTATAATTATTAATTTATTTTATATATCTAAATAATCTAAATTATATAATTTTATATTTTAAATTTTATTTACATCTGTCGACAGATTTTTTGTTTCTTTTTCTAAAGCTTTATATTAGAAATACTATTTACTTTTATAAATATTTAGGTCTTATATTTTTGTTCAGAAAAAAATATTTCTAAGTATATTTTAATTAAAAAGAACATGTACTTTTAATGTAAAATATGGGAGACTGATTTACATTAATAAAATAAATTAAAGTTTTGAAGGAAGAACAATTAAATTACATTTTTTTTTCTTTTTTTGATATAATTTTGAATAAAGCATTTCTTAATTTTTGTATAATTATCAGGTTTATTTCAAAACATTTATAAAATGTACTATAATTAATCTATTAAAAAAACTATAACTGTAACTATAACTTAAATATTCTCAATCACTTTATTACTTTTATAGCGAGATAGTAAGTTTCGTTGATGGTATAGAAGCTCCTCGTTATGTAGGAGATAAGCAGCAGTATAAAATTTTTAAATTTTTCTTAAATAATGGTAATGGGAAACGTGTTCAAGTAATAACCTGGAATGATGAAGTAGATAAAGTGGAACCTCATATAAAATTAAATTACGTAAGTGTTCTCACTATGTGCTTCACTATTCGCTTTTTGGTTTATAATAAAAATAATATTTATATTTAATAATATGGACGTACAATTAAATACAAATCATTTATAAAAATTATATTTTCTTACATAAGATAACTTAATAATATCAAGTAATATCGGCAAAAATATATATTCTTATTATAATTCAAGTATTATTTTCGTCATTCTTATTTTACAATTTTTAAAAAATCACCATTTTGCTTTCTCATAGAAAAAGCTTTGTGATGGTAGAAAATTTTTTTTGAGATTTTGATGAAAGTAAGTTTAAAATGTTTCAAAATATCGACAAATCACATTAGTAGAAAATATCCGGAAGTATGTATGTATATATGTGTGTGTGTGTGTGTGTGTGTGTACGGATTTTTGTACATGCATCTACTTGTACAACTTTCTACATATCGGGTCGAAATTTTGCACACAAATAGAATATCATAGAAAGTATGTTCTCTTCTATTGTTAGTTGTGATAACCTTGACAATTTTTTGAAATTTATCCTTTTACATATATATATGAAGGTGTAAAAACCACAATAGTGTAAGTTAAATTTTTAATAATATTTTTCTCATGTGCATAGATACAATCTGTACAAATATATAAATTGCATCTATGTACACGAGAAAATCTTTTTAAAAATTTAATTTAGACTGTTGTTTTTACCCTTTCATATATATATATATATATATATATATATATATATATATATACACATATACATACGTATATACATATATACATGTGTTATATGTCAAATAAATATTGAATTAATAAATTACTATTTATTAAATTAAATTGTTTTATAACAGATTGTTCATTTAGACGGCGTACAGGCTCGTCCACCTAAAGCGTCCCAATTTAATAATGGCAATGTACCTTACGAATTACAAATTCGTTCAAATACAATTGTTTCAAACTTAGGAAAGTATAAATTATTATGTTCGTCTGATATAGAACCAGAGAATGTTCAATTTTCCGATGTTTTAACTACATCAACACGTGTCAGTAAGTTTTGTAGTATTATTGATTTATAACATAATGAAACATTTATGCTATAACAATACATTTACACTATAATAAGTTTAGATTAATAAAGTGTATAATATAAAATATAATTTTTTTTTAACACTTCTTAAATATCTATTTTTTAGTCATAGATGGTTACATCAAAACAAATTTTGCTCCAGTTTATAACAATAAGTTAAATAAATCAATTGGTTGTGGATCTCTGACGGATGGCGAATATAAGTTAGAGATTCACATAATGAATTTTAACGAAGAAATTTATCGTAACCTTAATTTAAGAAAAGGTGATAAAATTAAAATAATTGGTACAATACAAACCACAGGTAAAATATTCTTTATTATTATTGATAAAATTTATTTTATTTTAAAATTCAGTTTATATGATAAAAGCAACTTATTCTTATTTATAAATGACATATTCTTTTTTTCAAATATAATAATATTATATAAATATTTATTACAAAATTAAATTAATTAATTAAATAAATAAATACATTCAATAACTTATTTATATCTATATCAAAATTAACAAAAAGTTTTATTATTATCAATAAAATACAAATTAAAATTAATTTTTCTTCTAAACATAATCATTGACATTATACTTTTATAATAACTACACAATATATTTTTTTACAGTTGACCCACCATGTTTCATAGTGCAAAACATAAAGGATCTTTCACAGATAGATGGACACATGCCATTGAAAACAGTTATAAAAGTCTCTCGTACTCTTAAAAAAAGAAGCGCAGAGAATAATTTGTTGCAACAGGTAATAAACATACAAATAAATAAATATTAACATTAATAAGAATTGAGATTTAAATAATTATTTACAATGCAGTAGTCATTAACGTAAAGAAATAAAAAATCCATGTACTTTACGTAATATACGTAATTATATATTATTTTTATAAAAATGATATTATAATTATATTCTTTAACCTGTATCTTACTTTGTAAAAAATGGCATTTTAACCAATTGTAATTAATCTTTAATAATTAAATTATACTATATTTAATTTTTTTTCAAAATAAAGTTTCAATATTAGTTTTTAGAAAGTATATTTGTCAATTTTTGGAGATTTTTTGAATTACTTTAATAAGTAGATGAAAAAGTGATCAGACACAAAATATTTATAATGGTCAGGACAGGGTTAAGGCTATAGACTCCTCTTTTTTTAATTATCTATATATATATCATAAACAAATAATGTACTTTCTTTTTGTAGCACTCAAATAAGAAGAGTAAACTGGATTAAAATAATATTCTTGGATTAGAAGAAATGATGTTCTTGTTTAAATGACATAAATAATTAGATTGGATTCTTTATATTAAAAACGTTTCTTTCGTTTGTTGAAAGTCTTACATTTATTATGTGTAAACATTATTTGTATTATTCAATTATATATTACATATTAAATATTGTATTACATATATATATATACATTTAAATAATAAAGAATGACATAAAATATCATTATTTTATTGTAAATATTGAAAATTACTCCACTTCAATTTCTCTTTCTGCAGATTCTTTGTTTCTTTGTTTGAAGCTTTGTATCAGAAACATTATTTACTTTTATAATATTTCGATTTTTTTATATTTTTATTAAGAAAAAATATTTCTAAGTATATATCCTAATTAAAAAAAACATGTACTTTTAATGTAAAATATAAAATTAGTTTACATTAATAAAATAAATTAAAGTTTTACGAAAAAAAATATTAAATTATATTTTTTCTCTTTTTTTTATAGGTATAATTTTAAATGAAACGTTTCTCAATTTTTGTATAATTATCAAACTTATCTCAAAACATATTTATAAAATTATAATTAGTCTATAAAGAAAATATTTTCTACAACACTTACTATAACTATAACTGTAACTTAAATATTCTTAATTACTTTATTACTTTTATAATGAGATAGTAGGTAAGAAAATTTATATCTCTCTCTTTAAAATCAATATATGAAAAAGTTTATCTTATTGTAAATATTGAAAATTATTTTACTTTAATTTGTTCAAAATAAATTGTATAATTCTTTCACAATAGGCAATAATTTTTATTTTTTTAATTTGTTATTTATATTAAAAGTTAGTAAATAAAACAATATTTCTATATAAAATATTTAATAATATAATATTTATAAAAATATTTATTAATCTTTAAAGGCCGGACAAATTTTTTTTTTCTATTTTTCCTTATTTAACACACCAAATTTTGCCTAAAAACATCAAATAGCTTGTGTTGTTTGGGTGGTCGATATTTCGATCACCCACGGCTTCTAAAGGTTAATCCCCAGTAAAACAGGAACGTCACATCCACGTCGAATCACGTAATTTCGTCGAATCCACGTAGCAATAACGTGGATCCACGTACTGTTTTACTAGGGTTGGTTAATAATTTATTACTAATTTATTAATAATAAAGTGAATAAGTATGACGCATCATGAAATAATCTGTAAATCTACAAATTTATCTTCAGAAAAGTTATCCGTTTTACTAACGTACTTATTATTAGAAGTATTTATCTTCTCTATTTTTGTACATAATTTTTCTTTTTCATGTGTCCAAATTATATATTAGCAAAAGATTGATTATATATATTTATAAACAATCTGTTTCATATGGTATTTGCTGTAATAAAAACCTAAATAGAATTATATTTTTTCAAAAAAGGTAAAGAAAAGCTTCCAAGTGTATGTGCTTTTCAAAGAAAAAACTGTTATATCAAAAAATACGGAGTAATAGTATCTCTAATTTTTTGAAAGTAAAACATTAGTAATACGTTTATTAATTTGTACTCAAGAGTATCTTCCTACCCAAGTTGTAGTAGTTTTAATTTTCTTTAAAAAATTAAAAAAGAACGTATAAAATCTTTAAATTATACCAATTAAAAAAAGAATATATATATTTCCTCAAAACATAAATGTTGTACAACTACTTTGAAAAAAATAAAAAAAGATTAGTATGTATCTTTTTGTATTTCTATTCAGTGATCTTCCTATTTCAACTCAAGTAGTATTTGTTCATTTTAATGGAATATAAGATGTAATCATAAAGAATTAAAAAAGTAATAATACAATAACAATGCAAACAAAATACAAATAAATTTATTAAAATAAAAAACTTTATTTAAAAAACTTGGTGTTGCTTGATCTCTCTAAATATTATAAAGTAATAACAATCAGATTAAATTCATTATCATTACTATTATATAAAACGCGACTGTTTGTCTGTCCGTCCGTCCGTCCGTCCGTCCGTCCGTCCGTCCGTCCGTCTGTCCGCGAACTACTCATTCGTTAGTGGACCGAATTTTTATCAAGAATACATGAAATAGGGGTAGAATTTCCCGGGGAGTGCCATAAAGTGTATAGTTTATTGCTACCGATTTTCTGGAAACCGATTTTTTTAATTTTTTTAATTTTTTGGGAAATAATTGATTGAATCTCAAAGAATTATACATGAAGTAGGGGTAAAATTTCCCGAGAAGTGCTATAAAGTGTACTATTTTTTGTTACCGATCTTTTTGGAAACCGGTTCCAAATGACTGAATGTCAAAGAATTGTACATAAAGTAGGGGTTGAATTTCCCGGGGAGTGCTATAAAGTATATAATTTTTTGTTACCGATTTTTTTGGAAACTGGTGTCAGAAGTTTGACGAATTTTTCGGGAAATAATTGATCAAATTTTAAAAAATTGTATGTAAAACAGGGGTAGAATGTCCCGGGGAGTGCTATAAACTGTATAGTTTTTCGTTACTGATCTTTTTGGGAACCGGTATTTTTTTGGAAATCGGTTACGAAATTTTCCAGAGAGAGAGAGAGAGGGAGAGAGGGGGAAAGAGAGAAAAAAAAAGAGAGAAAAAAAGAGAAAAAAAGAGAGGGAGAGGGAGAGGGAGAGGGAGAGAAAGAGTATTATAGTAAGTTACTACAGAAGTAATGCTCGCGTAAACGTAGTACGTGACTCTTTTACGCGAAGCGACTATTTGCGAGTACTCGAGATGTTGAGATCTCGATAACGAGTGAACGGATCAAGTTCTAAGTAGGCTTGATCGATAGCTTGGGGTCGATTTGGAAGGGGGGGGAAGGGTATCTTTTATAATATTTTCCGCTACGTGCCTTACGAGCGGAGATATTGCGACGCAAAAACCAAATGTAAAAATTTTATATGCCTTTTTAAGCCTTTTTAAGCCTTGTGTCCACGATGCTAGAACTGCGTCCGAGTTTCGGTTTAAGCCAATGAAACTGCTGCTTTTCTATAAGAGCTGCAAGTTGATTGGTTTAAACCGAAACTCGGACGCAGTTTTAGCATCGTGGACACAAGGCTTAAGCTGGCCACACACACACTTTTTCGTAACAGTAACAGTAGGATTTCGAGCAATCGCGTTAGGACCCGGGCACACACTTTTAAGTAACAGTAACAGTAAGGGCCCGGACACACACTTTTTCGTAACAGTAACAGTAGGATTTCGACCAATTGTGTTACTCGATTCGGGAACGTACGGCCGTACGTTTTCGAATCGAGCAACGCGATTGGTCGAAATCCTACTGTTACTGTTACGAAAAAGTGTGTGTGGCCAGCTTAAGATTCCTCGATTCAGAAACGTACGGCTGTATGTTCCCGAATCAAGCAACGCGATTGGTCAAAATCCTATTGTTATGCTGGGTCTATAATGCGAGTCACAAAATTGTGAGTCACAAGAATTTCAATCACACGATTATTCTTCTCAAATTCGACTGTGATTGGTCAATTCTTGCGACTCACAACTTTGCGATTCGTATTGTAGACCCAGCATTACTGTTACGAAAAAGTATGTGTCCGGACCCTTAACGCCGACGTCTCATTGGCCACGTTCAGCAAACACAACTGTTGAGTTCATCTTATCAACATTCTGCGTTGATTGGTTGGTTCTAAAAGTAAGGGCCAATCACGTTTGACTGTTACTGAGCGGCAGCGCGCTATCACAACAATCAGCGAGCGTTAACTTCTGTAGTCTTACGATAATTTACTCGTTTACGCGGAGTAAATTATCCGTAAGTTACTACAAAATCTCGTTTATGCGAAGGAATTATCGTAAGCTACTACAGAAATAACGCTCACGTAAACGTAGTACGTAATTTTTTACGCGACGCAACGATTAATTTAATTAAGGTAATTGTTTCATGTAAGTATCCAATATATCTATTACTGTTACGTACTATATTACGTTTATTATCGGTTATTAAGAAGGAAGAAGATAGTGACGAGGAAAAGACTCGTTCTGAATCTGCGAAACGTCCAAATGGAGTGTTTAATGATGTTAGTGAAGGAAAAACAGTTTTTCTAAAGAGATCGTACTGTACATTTTACAATTTTATTTTAACTAAAGTAAAGATACTAAATACTAAATGATAAAACCAATATCACAATGTTGGCATGTTATGTATTGCATATTCAATTGCTACTTAGCGACTCAATGAACTGGTGCGCTCCTAGATACACACATCAATTATGCGCGATTTGATGACAACTTAAAGTGATTAATATTGATTTTCATCGTTGTTAAGTAAATAAAGACAGAAGTCACTAAATAACAAATTGCAATTGTTTTTCATCAAACGTACACGAAGAGGCGAAGGAGATAGCATAAAATTGAGGAACTCTATACAAAAGGTAAATTAAAATATTAAACAATTTATAATTTACTCTCTCTCTTCTGATAATACTCTCCTTCATACTCTTCTTCATACTCTCTCCCTTTCCTTCTCCTTCACCCTTTCCCTCTTCTTCTCCATCTCCGTCTCTGTCTCTTCCTCCCTTCATCTCCTTCTCCCTCTTTCTCTCCATCTCTGTCACTGTCACCGTCACCGTCTCCGTCTCCGTTCTCTGTTTTCATCTCCGTCTTCGTTTTTATCTCCGTGTCCGTGTCCGTCTCCGTCTCCGTCTCCGTCTCCGTCTCCGTCTCCGTCTCCGTCACCGTTACCGTCTCCTCTGCGTCTTTCTCCCTCTCTCTCTTCTTCCTCCCCTCTCTCTTTCTCTCTCTCTCTCTCTCTCTCTCTCTCTCTCTCTTTTCATTTACTTATCTATCTATCTTTCTCTCATCAGAAATATAATTTTTCACACAAAAGTATAATAACTAAAATTCTATACACAGCATATAGAAAAAGAGACCAGGATCACTATAAATAGAAATGGAAAAACGAAATATTGATGGCAATAAATATGAAAGTGATACAGATGACTCTTCTGATGGTGAAATTCAAATTTCACATGAAATGAATATTTCAACATTTAAAGACGTAATTGATGAAAATCAACCCTCTACTTCAACTGCGTATGTACTTTATGTAATATACATAATTACTTATATATTATTTTTATAAAAACAAGACATTTTGAAAACACTATAATAAAGCTCATTTTCATTAAGAATTTTCTGATATTAAAAATCTTGTTATATTTTTAATATAAAATATAAATATGTTATAAAATATTTACTTTTTGATAACTTTATTTTCATATTTTTATATGTAGAATAATTGTTTTATATTTTTGTTCAAAAAAATATTTCTAAATATATTCCAATTAAAAAGAAGATATATCTTGAACGTAAAATAAGGGATCAATTTACAATAATAAAGTAAAATAAAATATTAAAAAAAATTATATTTTTTGTAAATGTTAAATATTTTTAATTAATCATGTGAAGATAATAAATATATTTTCTAAAAGTAATTACAGTGTAGTTGACAAATGGTTTGAGTTTGAAAACTTAAACGGAATGGATGTCTTAACATCTAATGACATACTTGACAATTTCCAGTTCTTTGATTCAACTGTGTAAGTATAATTTTAAATATTTTTTTGATATTAAAAAAAATTCTAATATTGTATTTACATGTATACAAGGTGTACACCATAAACCTATATTTGAATTAATTAAGGAGGCTCTTACCCGGCTGCTCTAATCAATGTAGCAACCGAAAAATTATCATTAATAATTGGTTATAAAATTATCGGAAAATTAAATAAAAAAATAAATGATGATTTTTACATAGTGTAAGAGTAAGTTATATGTTCTATTAGTGTAAATATTAAAATTTATACAATAAGTCAGTTGACTACGTCAGTGCTAAAGAGCAGAATAATAACATGCGTGTGTTACAACGTCGTCTGTAGCAGTCTGCAGCTAAAGTGAGGTGTAGCCGTGTGGCATTATAGCGATTGATGCGATAAAGAGATGGAGCCAAAAGAAAGATATAACGTGAGAATGTTGAGAGGGAAAATGAAAGGAAAATTCTCGAAAATAAAGGTTGCAATATGTCAATGCGCGAGAGAATAATTATGCCGCTACCATACAGCGCAGAGAAAAGACAGGGGGGTTTTTTCCAATATGTCCTCGGGTGAGGACGGCTAGGCGCCTTCAGCACTAGGCCATTTGGCACAATTGATCTAAAACTAATAATGACCATATACTATAGTCTCGTGTCTCTATCACCATCAAAACACAGTCAATTCAAATCACTCTACGCGTAGCTCTAATGAATTTAAAAATAATATCCACTATGTCCCAATTCTTCGCGCGTATTAAACGGAATATGTCTATATCCTCAGTAAATTCAAACTCTCTCAGCTCGGCATCCATGATTAACCTCTGATCGTCGTACTTATTGCATCTCAAAATAACGTGGTGTATATCCTCGTATTCACACCCGCATTCGCATCTCGCACTACCTATATAATTTTTTCTGTGCAGGGACGCGTTCAAATTATAATGGTTTGCCCTAAGGCGATTGATCCATGTAACAAAATATCTCTCCGCGCGGACCTTGCAAAACCACGGCTGTCTCGCCTCTCGATCATAGAATGTATCGAAATAGAAAGTGCCCTTGTGTTGAGCATCGCGTTCGATCGATAATTGCGTTGCCTTCCATGACTCCTCTCTCGCTCGCACCAACAAGTCCCCCACAGGGACCGAGATGGTGGGGTCGGGCTCCTCCTCCGTTGCCTCCTTAGCAAGTCCGTCAGCAATCTCATTTCCCAGAATGCCCACATGTGAAGGAATCCACACTAGCACGATCTTCTTGCCTCTCAATCTCTCCAAATTGTAAATCAATATTCTGGCCTCTGTGACATACTTATTTTTATGCACATTTAGGTGATTGTTGCAAATAGATTTAAGGACAGATTGGCAGTCGGACAAAATAATCACTTCATCACCACTCTCATATCTTCGCATCCACAGCAGCCGCAGGGCAGCACAGACCGCGAAAGCCTCAGCAGTATAAGATGAACATACACTAGGGAGGCTCATCTTGAAAGCCTCCTCTTGATCGCAAATCACAATGCTAGCACCAGTGGCCATCGCATCTTCCTTATAAGAGCCGTCGGTGAAGATGATATCCGGGTTGTTTTTCAGTTGGAACCTCTCGATTATCTTCTTGATCAGAGCTCGGTCGGAACACTTTTTATTTTTTCTCACTGCACCAATATCTAAGTCCACCCTCGGAATAAAGGTGTGGGCATTAAAAAATCCGTTGAAGATTTGCGGCTTCTCAACCGGGCCGATAAGCCTTCTCGTTCTTTCCACTCTGCGCCATATCTCCGCAAGGAGAGAGAGTCTATATGCGGGTTGTCTATATCTCTTAAAATTCTCAGCCATCAACAGCCCACGCATCTTATCGCATAGGCCATTAGTGTTGTGAGCAATCGCCTTATTTGCGAAGTTAGCGCCCAGCATCAGCGCTCGGTCCCTTAGCAGCATCACCTTGGCCTCCGCGATGATCACGTTATTCGGAGTAGAGTTCCTATAACCAAGGGCAGTGCGTATCCCAAGATTTTGGGCTCTCTCCAACTTAAGCTGCAACGAGCACCCCCTGGGGAAGAACACGAAGCACGCATAGTCAACAACCGATCTGACGAGACTCTTTAGCAATAATGCAGTGTTGACCTCTATTCCTCTTGAGACCCCACATAGATATCTAATAATGGAGTTGGCACGGTTCACTTTACCCCTCACGATCTGAATTTGCTGTTCAAAACTCAGCTTGTTGTCCAACCAGACACCCAGGAATCTGGCCCCGCCACAATTAAAAACCCTGCACCCATCAATGACTATGTTCATATTTCTGTCGATGTACCCGCTCTTAGAAAACTCCACCAATACCGTCTTTCTAGGTTCCAGGTCCAGGCCCAGTCCCCGCAGTCGTTCAGCAATAATATCAATGGCCCTCTGTAATAGCAGTCTACATCTCTCCCGATTCGGTCCACGTACATAAACCCCGATGTCATCAGCAAACTCAACCACCTCGACACCCTCCGGCAAGTCCGCACATAGACCCTGTGTGTACAATGAATACAGTATCGGACTCAAGACAGCACCCTGCGGGAGGCCCCGATAAACAAGTCGATCCACAAATAAACCAGAATTAATTATAAATCGCACTCTTCTACGATACAGCCACAAACTGACGAATCTGGCTATAGCTGGGGGGCAATCAAGCGCTATCAATCTCCTCAACATTATCCAATAGTCCACACTGTCATACGCGGACGAGACATCTAGGAAGGCTGCCAACGTGTATTCACCAACGCACAACGCAGATTTGATGTCCGACACAATTCTGACCAGATTATCGGCACATGACTTACCCCTGCGAAAGCCACTCTGGGACGGGCTAAATTTGTCCTCCTTCTCAGCCCACCAGACCAAACGCTCATTGATCATCCTCTCCATCACTTTGCCAACGCAGGAAGACAGGGATATGGGCCTAACCTTTTCACAGCCGACCTTATCGATAAAAATCACTTGGTAGTTAAACCAGTCACCAGGTATGCAGCATGTTGACCACACCCTGTTGTAAATCTCCAGCAAATGTTCCTTGGCCATGTCCGGAAGGGCCTTGATAGTTTTATATTCAATGCCATCAAGCCCCGGGGATGAGTCCTTACGGATCATCTCCAAAGCCCTCGTCATCTCTTCCCAGGTAAACGGTGCATCCAACTCAGCATTCGGTCGACATCCATCAAAGTCAGAAATCGGCTCCACCCCCACAAAAGGCGGAGCAAAACAGTCGATAGAAGACTTCACAACATCCTCCCTATTCTTAGTGGGCCAAGTATTCCATTCCAAGTTTTTTCTGGCGTTCTTGAAAATACGCATAATCTTCCACACATATGATAGGCTGGTGAACCTATCGATGCCCTTACAGAACTCCTCGAAGCCAATCTTCTTCTTCTGCTTGATAGTTTTTTTAACTATCGCGGAAGCCCTCTTATACGCCTGCCAATCATGTAGACTCTTTGTAGACTTAAATGACTTGAAGGATTCCCTTCTGATACGAATGGCCTCGTCACACTCGGCGTCCCACCATTTATGAGACGGTTTTCTTCTATTCTGAGGGACGTGCGTGGGCGGATCGGTACTTCTTCTGCCCGAGGCCGTCGCAACAGCGCTCCCAATAGAAGCGATAAATGACGAGTAGCACGCCTCCAGATCCTGCCCCAGGAGAATGCGTCGCTGAGCAATATCCTTCATTTCCCCCTTCATTAATTCACAGAATCTACCCCAGTCCGTTTTCTTGGTAGACAACCTGTTGGTAACCTTACCATATATCAAAGGGGAGCTTCCAAATGAAAAAGATAACGGGTGATGATCGCTGCCCCAAGGATCCGGCTCCTGCGAGTATGAAACTCCCTCAATAATTTTCCTTGTGCCAAAGAGAAGGTCTAGGTTTGTGTCCCTTTGACCCCTGACACCGCCTCGAGAGCAAGTGTCCACATTCACGCACAACAGTTCCTCCTCATCCATAATTTCATGTAACAAGTCACCATTACCGTTAGTAGTTGGGCAGTTCCATAGGGTGTTATGGGCATTAAAGTCTCCCATGATAATTGTATCCAGGCCATTTCCCCTAATAGCATTAAAAATCGGTCTGAAATCATGTCTGTTCATCGGCTCACAGGGGTGCCTGTAAACAGCAACAATGTTAACATTACAAGATAGATTATTTGTCTTGACACACACAACATCATACCCCACCGGCAAAGCAACTTGTAATGGGATTTCAGAGAACTCCACAGAATTGCGTAGAGAGACAGATACACCGCCACTACCCAGTCTGTTGGCACTATTGACAGATTTAAAGTTAGAAAGAGTAACACCTCGTGGACCCTTACATCTTGTTTCTGTTAGAATCACAATGTCATACTCCGAAGCGTGTCGGGCCAGTTCCTCCTTACAACTACGGTATCCTCTGCAATTCCACAGAAGGAGCCTGAATTATGTTCTCTCGTGAGAGGGAGTCCTTCCCTCACTATTATTCTCCATATTCATATCCTTATTGGCACCATCCCCTGCACCGCCACGTGTAGGGGGAGATGCCTCATGTCTCTCCCTCGTCAATGCCTCAATCAGGCCCATCCTAGCCACTGGAAATCTATCAATGAGAGACATTATGCTCGCAACGATCACACCCACCGCAGCATCCCGCTGCGCCGCCTCATCTCCAACCTCACGACGCACCACCTGAGACCAAGAAGCTCCTCGGTTACCAGATAAGGCCAATCCTCTTCTGTCCGCAGTAATATCTTCTTCATGACTATTAAATTGGGCAAAGTAGTTGCCGATACCACTTGAAATAGGCCTCGCTCTGCTTCTACCTTTCGGGGGGCCACTATCAGCATAGGAAAATTTACGCGGCGTTGGTTCGCGTGCCTCCGGTATCACAGGCCTCGTCCTCCGCGGCGGTAATACCGGCCAACTAGTAGGATCCATCCTGCTGTCCATAGGCCTATCTGTAGGCGGGGATTTTCCCTTCACCAGCCTTCTC